TGTCATTTTAAAAATCTTTTTGCCTCAAAGGCACTTAAAAGATACTACCATGTTTTTAGATGACATCTGCTTAGGCATCTACTTGGGTGATTGTTTGGGAAATTTCTGTATTTAAGGATTAGCATTTTTCATTAATTCTGAACATTTCAATCATTGTCTCTTCAACTATTGCCTTTCCTCCATTTTCTTTTGTCCTTCTGCAACTCTGATCACATGCATTTTAACTTCCTCACTTTGTTCTCCATGTCTCTGAATATCTCTGTTGATTATCCATCTCATTGTCTTTCTGTGCTACAGTCTGAGTAGTTTTTTCAAATCTGCCTTCTAAATCAATAAATGCCTTTTCAGGTATGTATAAACTACTTTTCAACAAATCCTTTGAGCTTCTAATTTCTATTATTCGAGTTTTTATATTTCTTTTATTATTATTATTATTATTATTATTATTATTATTTTGAGATGGAGTCTCGCTCTGGTACCCAGGCTGGAGTGCAGTGGTGCAATCCTGGCTCACTGCAACCTCTGCCTCCTGGCTTCAAGTGATTCTCCTGCCTCAGCCTCCCGAGTAGCTGGGACTACAAGCGTGTGCCACCACACCTGGCTAATTATTGTATTTTTTTTTAAGTAGAGATAGGGTTTTGCCATGTTGGCCAGTCTGGTCTTGAACTCCTGACCTTAGGTGATCCACCCTCCTCAGTCTCCCAAAGTGCTAGAATTGCAGGCATGAGCCACTTTGTCCAGCCTGTTCCTTTGATAACACTTAATTTTTTCTTTCTTTATCTTGAAATTTACTAAATACATTAATACTTTTTTTTTTTTTTTTTTTTTTGAGACAGAGTCTCACTCTGTTGCCTAGGCTGTAGTGCAGTGGCATGATCTCGACTCACTACAATCTCTACCTCCCAGGTTTAAGTCATTCTCCTGACTCAGCCTCCTAAGTGGCTAGGATTATAGGTGTGTACCACCATGCCTGGCTAATTTTTGTGTTTTTAGTGGAGACCGGGTTTTACCTGGTTAGCCAGGCTGGTCTCTAACTCCTGACCTCAGTGATCCACCTGCCTGGGCCTCCCAAGGTGTACTGAATACATTCTTTTATATTCTCTATTCAATTACAACATCTACAGTTTTGTTGCTCAGGCTTACAGTTTATTACCTGGCAACTTTTGCACATTGTGGCTTATTTATTTTGTGTATTCATTGATTTTGCATTATGGCCTAATATTCCTTGGAGCTTTATCAAACCTGGAAATTCTTTGGGAATTATGTAAAAAGTGTAAGCATCTCCTTTTGAGGGGTGTTTTTATTTGCTTTTCTTAGATGCATGGGAACATTACCAAGCGAGAATTGCTTAAAATGAAATTTTCTGCTTAAGTTTTTTTTTTTTTTTTTTTTTTTTTTTTTTTGCCACATAGATAGTGAGAACGTCAGCCCAAAAGAATAATGCTTCTTGGCTTAAGATTAGAAATTATCAACAGACTTTGTTTTCTTTCTGCTTTACTTAGGGCCAAAGCCAAAAACAGGCATGTGTATCCCCATCATTTAGGTCTGCAAGGTGTTTGTTCTCCAGTTTAACCTCTGAATGGGTCCTGGCTTTATGTAGGTTCTATCATATAATGTATCATGTGCAGGTCCCAGGCTGTCTTCTGTCTCCTTCATAATGTAGTGTAGGCCAGCAGCAAGTGATGTCGGTCACCAGCACAAATGAACACTTGCTTATTCTGGTGGATTTTCACATTCCTGTCATTTCTGCAATCCATGGAATTCCTTATTGTCTTTTAAATGCAGCTATACATTTAAAAAATGTTTTGCAGATCATACAGTGTTTATTATTATGTTACACGGGCTTTTTCTTCTGCGTATATCTGGTCTACCATAATGCTTGTTACGAAACACATTTAATCTTCTGTGAGGTATAATTTATTATTCCCAGGTTTTATATAGAAATATATTAGGATAACAGAGGCTAAGCGATTTTTTCCAACATTGTAGAGATATAAAGTGGTAGAGGTGAGGTTTAAATGGGTCTAGACCCAAAGCCAAGGCACTTTCAAAAGATTAATAAACTTTGTTGAATGATACTTGGACTAACGTTATTTAAGTGAGGGAGATCCCAAATCAGAAACCAATCATAATAAAAATTGAGATCAAGAAGATTCCTGAATGTAGCTCCTCATATTACTGTCCTACCCATAGGGCAATTGGAAGGCCTCAGGAACACTTGCTAGGGTCAGGCCCTGCTCTCCATTCTGACTCCTGTGCTATTTGAAAGCTCCCTCCCTACTCAGTGACTGCTCTCGTACTTCTTCATTGTAGCTGTTGGCTCTCAGAACACGATACCCCGAAGTATAGCACCTTGGTGTGCGGAGTACTTTGAACTGAAAGATGCTGGAAAGGCCTCCAAAGAAAGATCTCTTTGACCTTCTCCTGCCCTTTCATGCTTCTTTCTCCCCTGGAGTGAACCACAGAAACTAGAATTCCTCTTCTGCAAGGCGGGTAATAGAAACTAGCAACCGTCTCCTGAAAGCAAGCCATAAAACTTAGGAAGGTCATGCTCTCTCTTCTCATTTGAAGACCCTTATTCCAGAGGAATCCTGCCCCCTACCTGCAAAGAAGAGATGCTACACAGAGAAGTCCAAGAAGAATTTGAACACACCCCCTCCCTCACCCCCAGTCTATTACCATTAGATCATACTCTTATCCAAACACATCTCTACACAGCTGCTCATTCTTCATGGAGCCCAAGCACAAAAACAGTTTTTCCTGGATCTTTGGGTTTTCATTTCTGAAGGCTCTCACATCACATAAAACTTTGATTAAATAAATTTGTTATGCCTTTCTCTTGTTGACTTGTGTTTTGTTATAGGAGTGTCAGCCATAACTCTTACAATGAGTGAGGAAAGGTATTACAGTTTTGTTTTTTTTTTTTTTTTTTACCCCTATGCACTCTTGGAGCTGATCATCACAGTTTGTGATTTTTCCACTTTCCATTCCTGCTTCCGTGTATTTTGATAAATTTTTACAGATCAGTAGACTTCCCATGGCAGAGTATTTCCTGCTTCTCAACAGCTCTTAAACCAATCCAAGGAAAACAAAAGAACATCATAGTGCTTTGTCATATGACAAGATTACAAAAGCAGTATCCAGTGGCAGAATGCCCGACTGCTCCTGGACACAGCCAATAGCTGACTTCAGTGCTCCACATCCCTGATTATCAGTGATTAGTCTAAATTGTTATTACAAGCCCAGTCTGACCAATGAATGAGGGGCCATTTTGACTGTTGGCTCCTGATTCTGCAGAAAACATGAGGGCAAAGATGCTGATGAGGGGCTACAGCATGCAATTCACTTCAGCAGCAGTCACTAAGGTCTGACCTCTTTTCTAACCACATCTGGAAGGTGGGATGCTGGACACAGGATATGCACAGAAAATGGGAGTCATTAGAAAAGCAGTTTGCTTCCTTTAACCCAGGAATTGTGTTTGTGGTATGCTGTTTCCTATTAGACAATTGCCCTAAATCTTCTCGTTTAAGGAGCAGGAGAATGGTGAGGTTATTTCTGCTGTCAGCAAAAGTCTTAGAAAAAACCAGAGTCTCCTAGTTTGTCAAGTAGGTCCCTTGACTTGGGCTGGGCAGGAGTTAAGAGTGGAAGTCTGTGCTCTCTGCCCATCTTATAATATCTTGAGGGTGATCATCTCGGGTGTTCTTGGGTAACATGTCCCATTTCATATAGCATTTCATTAGAATTCTTGTATAAATGATGACAGGCAGAGGATACTCGGCATGGGAGTGCTGGACCTATTGGATGCTTAGTCACCCCACATTAGCCTTTTTAATAAAAAATAGAAAAAATTTAATTGACAAGTAAAAATTGTATATGTTTATGGTGTACAGCATGTTTTAATATATGTATACATTCTGAAATGGCTAAAACAAATTATTTAACATACACATTATCTCAGCTACTTACCTTTTTTTTTTGGTGGTGAGAACACAAAATCTACTCTCAGCAATTTTCAAGTATGCAACATATCATTATTAGCTATAGTCATCATGATATACCATATTAGTCTCTTAATATGGCATAATGCCTTGGCAAAACTCAAAATCCCTAGGAGGTTTAGATTTTTGAGTTTGGAAATGGTCCAAGGTGCATATACTATGTCTGTGAATACCAGAGAGCAACTGTTTGTGGGTTCCTGGTGTAGGGTCTAAATTCTAAATTCAGAGAGATGAGCTCCTTTAGGGTCACAGTCTTTCTGCCACTTATCAACCTAAAAGCAAGTTTCCAGATGTTAAATCAGCTAGGAAATCATTTCAGAATTTATTTCAAATATTACCTTAATTCCTAGGGGATAAGGGATTTAAAAAGAAAGTGTTCAAATGATCATCTTATACATTTATATATTTTTAGTTTTCTGTTTACACCCTTGTGACTAGATATTACATTCATGAATGAATTAAAAATGAGCTGCAGGTGAAAATCTTAAAGTCCAAGGAGACTATTCCCTATGTGTTTAAGAGACCTTTGCCATCCAGATCTGACTTTTACCTGAACAGATGGAGCTCACTATGTCAAATGCTGGCAGTTTGAAAGGGACTGCTGTAGACCTGGATGGATCTCTGCCCTTTTGGCCAGCCTCACACTGGTGTCCCTCACACTCTGTCAGGGAAGCATTCGCCCAGTTATTCCTGGGCTTACAGCAACCCTGTCAACTGGGCACTAACCTGGGCTCACAGCAACCTTGTCAACTGAGCTGCTAACTGGACACGGGGTTTAGCTAGGACTCCTGAGCTGGAAAGACAGTCATAGTTCCTATAATGTAAGGATAGACTGGCTACAGTGGGAGGGTGTGCATTCTGAGGAATGGGCTCAAATGGACATGCTGAGAATAGCATGGTATGGTTTAGTGATTACCCATTGTCCCTAGTAGGAGAAACTTTGGGAATTAATATTACTGTCATAGTCCCACACACAAACCACACAATTACCTCTATTCTGATAGAGTTGAAATGTTTAGATTTATTGTAGCATTACTATCAATACATATTGATTGCAGTATTGCTATCAAGAATACATATAAATACATTGCTGAAGCCATAAGTGAGGCAAGGGATATTTCAGGGTTAGTCAAAAGTTAATCTTCAAGGTCTGGAAGGCTGGATAAAAATGAGCTGAGACTACGAATTTTGTTGCTAGGTGGTCACCACTTATGACCCTTGGCAGGAAGGGCCGGAATGAGGGTTATATGGTGAACGGAATGAGAACTGAGAACTAAGCATCACGTAGGCCTGAAGCATTTATTGCTACTAGTGACCAGTTGCAAGCCCTTCTGACTATGTAACTCTAATCAACTATAACAAACACGAGAAAACAACTCTTTAAAAATGTACCTTCAAGCAACGTGCATAACTTCCCTGCTCAGCAACCCCGGGTTGGGACCCCCTGCCTTCCTGTCCTCTTACCCCTCACAACCACCGTTGCAGGCTTCTGAAGTTCTGTTTTTCTCCTCTCTCCTTTCTCCTCTGTTCAGGAGCTCTGAGTTAGAGACGAGCTCTCTGGGATTGGAGCTGACTGCACCCTGGCCCATTTCGTCACTGCCATCTTCAAGCTCAGATGCTGACAGGAACAAACTGCCTATGCCTGAAGGGGCATTCCTTAGCAGGCGACCCAGTTCCTTCTCATAACATTTGGCTGCTTGCAGCAGATCTCCATTCTGCTTATGAATTAATCCTTGAAGATACCAATAATTCGGTGCATTTTGTGGAAGCAGATTTTCAGATACATTCTGTGGTTGGTCATTGATCTCTTCCTTCTCAGTTGATTTTTTGCTTATGGACAAACTCTCTAAACCATGTTGGACAGCAGTGTCTTCAAACTTCCCATTATATTTCTGAAGTTTGCAATAGTGCTGATGGGATTGCTGCTTCTCAGCATCAGGAACTTCCTTATTGAATGGTGTCTGATAACATTCTGCTTCCAGGAACTCAGTGAGATCGGAGTATGCATTCAGAGGATTCAGTCCCTTCTCAAGAGCTTTATTTAAATAGTCCATAGCATTTTGCTTTAGTGCTTCAATCTCCTCTTTATTTCCACTAGCTTCAGATTCTCCTGTGTTCTGCATTTGTCTCACTTTAGCCTTGTAGCAGCACCCAATCTGGTGATAGAGGTAGCCATTGTTTGGTGTGGATCCTAGTGCCTGTTGAAACAGTTCAATAGCTTTGTCCAGGTCACCTTTTTTTCTGTAAAAATTGGCTGCACTGCGGAGGACATCTGTTTGGCCAGGAGCCTTCTCTAGGGCTTCTTCAACCAACTGCTCTCCTTCAGCTTCTTTATTCATCTTCTGCAGTTTCAGGGCCAAGAGAACTTTGATATATTGATTATCAGGACTCAGCTCTATGGCCTCCTTCAAAACTTTGTCACAGACCTGTTTCTCTGGGTTATTATCCAGATGGTACATCGCAATTGCCAGTCCAGAGGAGAATTCTGGGTTGTTGGGTTTTTCTTCCAGAGCCTTCTCAAAACACACCTTCGCCCTTTCATTTCTTCCACACTTCAGCTGTGTCCACCCTTCCTCACAGTCAAGCTCAGGATACTCGATGCTGTGTGGATTTGAAAATTTCTTGCAGGTTTGTTTCACCTTGTCAACATAAGTCTGAGCATCTGAGAGTCGGCCCATAAGATAGTAGATCCAGGCATAGTTTCCCCAAGTGACTAGACTTCTGATTTCTGCTTGGTCAGCATGTTCTTGCTGGATTAACTCTTCAGCTTGCCGTAAGCATTCCAGGGCTGCCTCGTTTTGACCATCTAGGTGTTTTATGTAGGCCAACAAGTTGTACATTGTAGCCTTGAACTCAGTGTTTAAAAATTCAATCTGGTTACACACTCTATCTTCTAGATCCCTTGTGACACTTTCTTCCTTGAATAATTTCCAGGTGAAATGGCATTTCAGCTGTGGAAGGATTTTCTCCAGGGAATTCTTGGTGACCTCACTGTGGAGAAAATAAACATGGTCACTGTGATGTATACTGCCAAGCATTGCATCCTGTGATCATTAATTGTATGTCAATTGAACAGGGCCACAGGATGCCTAGATATTTGATCCAACATTATTTCTAGATGTGTATGTGAGGTTGTTTCTGGAAGACATGAACATGTGAATTGGTAGACTGAGTACAGCAGATTGCTCTCCTCAAAGTGGATGGGTGTTCATCCATTCCGTTGAGGGCCTTAATAGAACAAAAAGGCAGAGGAAGGGAGAATTCTCCCTCTGTCTGACTGCTTGAGCTAGGACATTGGTCTGTTTCTGCTCTTGGACTAGACTTGGACTAGAACTTTCACCGTTGGCTTGCCTGGTTCTCAGGCCTTTAGACTTAGACTGGGACTACACCATCAACTTTCTACTTTCCTTGGTCTCCAGCTTGCAGACAACAGATTATGGGACTTATCAGTCTCCATAATCACATGAGCCAATTCCACATAATAAATCTCTTTATATACAGATGTTCCTTGACTTATGGATGGAGTTACATCCTGATAAACCCATCATAAATTGAAAATACTGCAAATCAAAAAACACATTTAATACATGTAACCTACCAAACACCATAGCTTATGCACTCAGAACCCTTATATTAGCCTAAAGTTGGGCAAAGTCACCTAACACAAAGTTGATTTTATACTAAAGTGTTGAGTGTCTCATGTAACTTATTGAATACTGTATTGTAAGGGAAAAACAAGAATGAATGTGTCATTTTTGTATCATTGCAAGGTTGAAAAAATTGTTAGTTGCTTCCTACATTCACTTTTCTATAGCTATGCTCTGTGCAGACACCCACAAAACACATCTCTTATGTTGTATAAGCAGATATAGGTGAGGTAAGATGGATAAGAAGACAGCTTCAGTGATAGGAACTGAGATCTCTGAGAACTCTGCTCAATTACCAAGTCAGGCCAGGAGTGGTGACTCTCACCCCCGTAATCCTAGCGCTTTGGAAGGCCAAGGTGGGCAGATCACTTGAGCCCAGGAATTCGAGACCAGCCTGGACAACATGAGGAAGGTCTGTCTCTACTAAAAATACAAAAATTAGTCAGGCATGGTAGTATATGCCTGTATTGCCAGCTATTCAGGAGGCTGAGGCAGGAGGATCACTTAAGCCCAGCAGGTGGAAGTTGCAATGAGCTAAGATCACAACATTGTACTCCAACCAGGGTAATAGAGTAGGACCCTGTCTCAATAAATAAATAAATACATAAATACATACATACATACAAACCAAGCCAGTTCTCAGTCCTTGTACATTTTGGGTAAGGTTTGTTTAGCTATCCAATTGGGCTACCTCTTTTTGTCACTTTATTAGATGTTATGGATACTAGGAAAAATAGAGATTATCCCAACCTTCTCTGCCCCCCAGGTGCTTGCAGTTTTGTTAGGAGACATGTAAAGAAATAAAAGCCCAGGTATGTCTGCCAACATGTTATGTGATTTAGGTATTTTTTCCTTCATCTTTTCCACCACTTGCAAACAGACCCCCTGGGGCTCAGCTTAAGTGTGATTGAAGTAGTCTCCCTACCACACAAGGAGATCACTTGCCTTATTTAGCTGGATAAATTGCAAGAGTTCTCAAAGTGTGTTCCCATATCTACATTTGCCTGGGGCTTGGGCTGTATGTTCCAGACTCGGAGTTTGTGCTTCTTCCTTCTTACCAGTAGATTCATGGCACCATAAGATTGGAAAGAACCTCCAGAAAGGCCGGGCATGGTGGCTCAAGCCTGTAATCCCAGCACTTTGGGAGGCCGAGGTGGGTGGATCACGAGGTCAGGAGATCGAGACCATCCTGGTCAACATGGTGAAACCCTGCCTCTACTAAAAATACAAAAAATCAGCTGGGCATGGTGGCACGTGCCTGTAATCCCAGCTACTCAGGAGGCTGAGGCAGGAGAATTGCCTGAACCCAGGAGGCGGAGGTTGCGGTGAGCCGAGATCGCGCCATTGCACTCCAGCCTGGGTATCAAGAGCGAAACTCCGTCTCAAAAAAAAAAGAACCTCCAGAAATCATTAAACCAAGTGTTGTCCTCATTTTGGATTTCACAGACAAGTACAACTTCATCGAAAAGTTATGAACCAAATAGGGCTGCTAATGTATCCAAAAAGACATCAACCATCTATTTTGACCAATGTTTTATTGTAAAAGATATAAAAGAAAGAAAGAATTTTCATTGTCATTGAAAAAGTAATCTCAGAATAAACAAAGTTCTCTAAATTGAATGCATTTGATTCTGTAAGGAGCCACTGACTTTATTTGCAATTTACCATGGACCAGCACTGGCCCCCACACTGCTACTGCAAGTGCACTGATCTATTATACTACATGTCTCTCTCTCTAGTAACACTAATCTAAACCATTTTTGACCCAATATGATTGCACATGAAATGCTTTATAGTGAGAGATGCAGAATCAACTCAGGGCAGTGAGAGTGAGGAGGGAAGTTGCCATCTATATCCAGATTAGCCTCTTTATGTAGCTGCCTCAATTTGGGGGCAGTTCCTTTCCTTTTCTTGGTCCCTGTCTAGGGTTACAGTGTCAGTATCTTCCCTGTCGATTCTACCATTCTAGGGTCCTTCCTTCCTTCCTTCCTCCCTCCCTCCCTCCCTCTCTCTCTCCCTCCCTTCCCTTTATCCTTCCCTCTCTTCCTCTCTCCCTATTTTCCTTCTTTCCTCCCTTCCTCCCCATTTTTTTCTCTAGAGATAGGGTCTCACTATATTGCCCAGAGTGGCCTCAAACTCCTGGTTTCAAGCAATCCTTCTTCCTCAACATCCCAAATTGTTGGGATTACAGATGTGACCCACCACGCTTGGCCCTAGGGGTTTCCAATTTGGCTTCACTTGAGGGCTCTAACTACCCTGTATGAAGGACTACAAGCTGAAAGTCAAGTTAGCAATTATTAAAAAATGAATACTAAGAGTAAGTTATGACAATGATAATTGAACTGTGCTTATATCTGTTATGCCACTGAGTCATAATAAAGTCATGAAAACATAAGTTCATTTTGCTAATGGGTGAATTAGGAAGACTAGGAGGAAGGAGAGAAATAGTGAGTTTCAGATGACTACAATGTTTCTGCAGATTTGTAGGTACATATAGGTGCTTGAAAATACTAGCCAAACACTCTAGTAATTAATAGAGTGAACCTGCAGAATGATAGATGATGATAGAGTGAATAATAGAGTGAACCTGCAGAATGATAGATGATGTTGGATGTGTTTGCCTCAGCAAAACCAGAAACCACCTTGTATGTCTGATGACATTATCTTTTTCTTTTCTTTTCTTTTTTTTTGGAGGCAAGAGGGCTTTGACATATTGGTGTACCACGATCTTACCAAACTAAATTTTAAGCACTTATAGCTCAAGATTCTCCCTCCAATATGAAACATATTTCTACCCTGTCATGTATCAGCTTCAGAAGATATCAATTTCTCAAGAAAGTGTTGGACAAGCAGAAAAGCACACAACATTTCTGGACTTGTGGAAGATTGCTGAATATGGATTTCTCAGGGATATTCCATCCCTACCAAAACTGTACCATGCCAGAACTGGCCAGGTTGAGACATTTAATGATAACGTGGGGCAATTCGTTGAAGACAGCCAATGATTCATGTGGCTTTATGGTTATGAAAGCCATTGAAAAGTGGAATTCAGGTCCCTTGATTCCCTTGATTTTCTTAAGCCTTACTCCCTAAAGTCTTCAATTTGATGAAGTATTTGATACCTGATCTCTCCTTGAAGTAAAATTTGGAGCAAAATATATCGGACTGGGAGGCCTAAGATCTGGATAAGAAGAAACATGAACCCCAGAGCCAGAGTTCAGGAGGTTTGCGTTATAATACTATTGTAAGGCTGGCTGCCTCACAGAGGGTTAAAATGGACACATCCATCTCTCTCCGCGCCTGATAACTGCATCATCACCCAAGCCCATTATCTGGCCTTGCCTCATGGCTTCCCTGCACCCACCTCCGCATACCAGACCCAAGCCCACATTCAGCACTAAATTATACATTCAACCTCCAGCCCACTGTTGATAAACCCTGCAGGAGAATTTTTTAAAGAAGCCCCATCAAACCCTGCCCGGTAGCAGTCTGCTCTGTATGCCCCTGGAAAGCCCACCTACCCATAACCGCTAGCTCCAAGCAGTTCCTGCTTCTTAATAGCCAATAGACTGCCTTCACTTTGTTTCCCCAGCATTAATCAAGACCCAAGGTCCCACCCGCCTACCCATAACCACTAGCTCCAGGCATTTCCTGCTTCTTAATAGCCAGTAAGGTTGCCTTCACTTTGTTCCCCAACAGTCAATCAAGGCCCAAGGTCCCGCCTGCCTACCCATAACCACTAGCTCGAGATACTTCCTGCTTCCTGACAGCCAATAAAATTGCCTTTGCTTTGTTTCCCTGATAGCCAATCAATCGCCTTCCACCCTAGTAAAACCCCATGACCTAAGCAGCTAGGCATGACTTCTACGGCCCCTTCCTGGACCATAGAACCTCGCCCGGGAGGTGAATAAATTGGCTTCTCATTTTGTCATACTCTCCTCAGTTTCCTCATTTTACATTGGCGATAAACCTTACAACTATTATCTTCTTAAAACAAATACTCAAATTGCCAAGGCTTCCTCAATGATTTACCTCAGATGCATTTTTGAAAGTTACTCTAAAGATTCCTTATATCTATAAATAAGTTAACAGTAATCAACTGAGATATTTAAAGGAAATACAGGCAGGCAGGTATAATGATGCCTACAGTTATTTATATAAAGAATAGCTAGGTTCAGGTGAAATTTGAGTAGAATGCCAGTCCTACCTGGATGGTCTGCACCTAGAATACCTTAGGGAGATAGGATTCCCTTGGGTGCAGAAAGAGATTTCCCATGGCCTCAGATTGCAGACATGAGATTTCGCTTACTAAAGCAATTAAAGTTAGCACTGCTGGTCCTTAGGAAATTCCCAGAATCAACCTAGGTACAATCCCTCACCTAACCCAGATCATGACCTCCTGTCTTGCCCACAGACTCCAGGGTAGATGCCGCATCTCCTTCCCAGTCAAAGCCATTAGAGTAGAATCTTGAAATTTTCAGAAAGTGGCCTTCTTAAAGTGGTAACAGTGGGCATTTCCAGGGAAATCTCTGAGGCAGCTTGTCCTGCACATATGCTGGTTATGCTCCAACTGACTATGTCTTGGGGCTGTCTCAATATGCCGGGTCCCTTCCCAGCTCCCAACTCCCATTTCCCTGTGTTCTTTGGCTGCCTGACTCTATACATCACAAAAAGCCACACAGAAATAAAAATGCACAAATTGGTAAGATAGGCTTATACTTGAATTAGATAAATGCATATTTAATCTCTAAGCTAACACTGAAATAGCGTAAGTCAGGAAGTTATATATAAGAAATTCTGTTTCCTATCAGAAAAGCAGGAACTATTTACCTCATGATGGCTGTTTCCCTGCAGTTCCGAAAAGCTGGGGTCCTGGTTGCTTTTATTTTTAGCTTATTGGTTCCAAGCAAATGCTGAAGAGGTTTCTGCCCAGGGTGCTGTTCGGTCTGTGCTTTTATGAAATGCAAAAGGAAAGTGAAACTGATGAAACCTTATGAAGATGCCTGTTGTGGGGAAACTGAAACTGAATCTGTGACAACTGAGCTCACTCACGCTGGGAACATGTTCCAGACAGATTCAGGAAACTGTGGTTTGAAAGTTGTAAAAAGGCACTGTTAAGAGAAAATAACATTTTAGAACCTTCCAAATTTATTATGTCAAGAGGCAAAGTTAAGCCCTGAAAACTGACTCTCGTAACACGACTGTTTTTTATTCTCAGGTGTATGACTGCTGCTTTCTGACTTGTGTGGTGAGAGGTTACACGTTAACCAGACTCCCTATCTTTATTAAAACCTAGACCCCTTTCGATTTTGACCTTTTTTTTTTTTTTTTTGAGACAGGATCTCACTCTGTCACCTGGGCTGGAATGCAGTGGCACTATCTCAGCTTACTGCAACCTCTGCCTCCCAACCTCAAGTGATCCTCCTACCTCATGCATATAAGGCTTCCTTCATTGTATGCGTGTAATGTGAAGGAAGAAATCCCTCCTTCACATTTCAGGGGTGGGAAGAATGTTAAAATAAAGCAAAGCTTGTGCCTGGGCACAGTGACTAAGCCTGTAATCCCAGCATTTTGGGAGGCTGAGGCAGGAGGATTGCTTGAGTGCAGGAGCTCGAGACCCGTGTTGGCAACAAAGTGAGACCTAAAAAAAAAACAAAAATAAAATAACCTCCAGTCAATGAGACTATAGACCAGGCGTCCCCAAACTTTTTACACAGGGGGCCAGTTCACCGTCCCTCAGACCATTGGAGGGCCGCCACATACTGTGCTCCTCTCACTGACCACCAATGAAAGAGGTGCCCCTTCCTGAAGTGCGGCGGGGGGCCGGATAAATGGCCTCAGGGGGCCGCATGTGGCCCGTGGGCCATAGTTTGGGGATGCCTGCTATACACACATGCCACCACTCCTGGCTGATGATTGTATTTTTAGTAGAGACAGGGTCTCACTATGTTGCCCAGGCTGGTCTCCAACTCCTGAGCTCAAGCATTTGCCTTCCTTAGCCTCCCAAAGTGTTGGGATTAGGGGCATAGCAACTGCCACCAACCATGTTAACCTCTTTACAAAAGAATATTAAGCAATTCCCTTGGACTGTAATCAATAGTAGCCAATCAAACTATCTATATGTTAGCCTCTGTGTGGAAAATGTTGGCCAGGCATGGTGGCTCATGCCTGTAATCAGCACTTTGGGAGGCCAAGGTGAGTGCATCACTTGAGGTCAGGAGTTCAAAACCAACCTGACCAACATGGCGAAACCCCATCTCTACTAAAAATACAAACAATTAACAAGGTGTGGTGGCGTGCTCCTATAGTCCTAGCTACTTGGGAAGCTGGGGTGGGAAAATCCCTTGAGTCTAGGAGTTCAAGGCTGCAATGAGCCATGATCAGGTCACTGCACTCTAGCCTGGGTGACAGAGTGAGACCCTGTCTCAAAAACAATAACAACAACAACAACAACAAAAGTTATAACTCTGTTCCACACCTCTGTCTTTGCCTATGTAAACAGCCCTCATTTTTCTCTACACTGGAAGTACTGTTCACCATTCTTGGGTATAGCTCTACTCCTGGGACTGCTGCCCTCAACTTTTCACTTGAATACACTCTTTTAACTGGATCCTGAGCCTTCTGATTATTGTATGTTGACAGTACAGATTACAAGGTCCTACTCCCAGAGATTCTGGTGCAGTGAATCTGATGTGAGCTTAGAAACCTGTGTTTTCACAAGTGCCCTGGAAATTCAGTGGCAGGAATTCCTGTACCACGTTTTGAGAAGTGCTGTCATAGAGGTATTTTAAAAAGCAGCTTTCCCCTTTATTTGTGGAGCTAATGTGGTGAATTATCGGACAGCGTTATCAGACAATCTCAAGTGAAGGTAAAAAACCACAGGACACCTGGATTTCAGTGACCTCTTTGACTAGTTCTTGAGTCACATCACTGAGCCTCATTCCCATATCCTTAAAATGCCTTAGGATGAGTTTCCTTTTTCCCTCCATCCAAATAATAGAAATTATACCCTGGGGAGATCCACTTTCACCCTCCTCCAAGATCTGAGTTCAGCTCTTGTGGCTTTGGCCACTCTAAGGGGTGGGTAACCATAAAAGACCAGCCCTCACTCTCCAGATAGGAAGCCCGTCACTGGCCCCCTCTTTAAAGTGAGCATAGTGGAAAGCATTAAGATCTTTTCACCTTTTGGCCTTTGGGCACAGAGTCAGATGATCAGCAATAGAGTTTGGTGCCTCCATTAATGACTCTGCTCTGACACCTGCTCTCTATCTGATGTCTTGGGCAAGTAATTTGCCCTTCTAAGCCCCATTTTGCTCATCTAGAAAATGAGACTAATAATAGAAATAATAGCTCTTACTTCCCAGGGCTGTTGGAAAAGTGATATGAGGTCATGTGTAAAAAGCACTTAACACAGTGCCCACTAACTACAGATCACGAAGAAATGTTACCACCATGATTGTTGGTATTAATATATTTGTGTTATAATTTTAAGTGAATTTGTGAGTGTGTCAAGGGGGTAACAGTTCCTCAGTGGATGGGGCAGAGAAGGATGCCCATTAGCTGGCAGGTGCCAGGGAGTTCTCCAGGTGATTTTCCCATTTGGAAATTTTTAGCACTGCTGGGGAAGAGTAGCCCAACTTCCTCCTGTTCCTACGGCCTCCTGAAATAGGAGCACCTTGATGTGAACTTGAGTCCAGCATAGTTCAGAGATCGCTCCCCTGCCAGACCTCCTCAGGTCCATGGCTGTAGACACACTTAAAGACAGGACACTGTAAAACCTCTCCTGCAAGCGGACTACTAAGATGCTGGTTAGTGCCTGGCTTTCTGGTCAACCCCACTCACACAGACACAATTTACATCACTCTTGACCAGAAACTTACTCTATATAAAAGGGTTAGCATGAGGTGTTTGGCAGTGAATTCCTCTTGCCCATCCCATCCCCAAACATGACATTGCAGAGCATTTTTAAAAGTCTTTTTGGCAGAAGGTAGGGAATCCAGTTTTCCTTTTCTGCCCCCCGGAATGGTCCATGGGGTCTTCCCTCCATGGCAATCTCACCTCCTCACTTCTTCCCCATTGATGTTTGGTGGGAAACACATCCTTTTCTCTTAGTTCTCCCTAAACTCCAGGAGGTCAATATTTATATTTAAAAACCAAGTTTTCTGAGATTATACTTTACATACAACAAGATGCATGCATTTTCAGTGTACAGTCTGATAAGTTTTGATAAATGTTTATGCTTATGTAGCCACTGCCATTACCTCCCTATAGACTATTCCTATGATTCCAAAATATTCTTTAGGGAGCCTTCCTAGTCAATCTTTACCACCTCCAGGCAACCACAGATCTGCTTTCCATCATTAGAGATTAGACCAGTATTAGACAAGAGATTAATTACATTTTTGAGGAGAAATTATTTTCTGCTGCTGACCAGCTTCCACTATGTCAATAAAAATAAATGCTAAGCTTTGGGTTTGTTTTTATACAAGAAATGACAAAAACGCCCATTTGTAAGAATTGTTTCTTCTACTTCCCACCTTAAGTAATGCAACATTTTAGGGCAAAATTGCCCTCTTCGTGAGTGGGTTTGCAGTACTGATTTTATATTTCACAATATTTGTTGAAAATAAATGCCTCCTTTAAAAATTACAATTAAAAAACCTGTGACTTAGTCTTTTCAAACAAAATGACAATAACAGAAAAGCCCACAAAGAGTAATTCCCTTAGTTTTACCCTTGAATCAGCAAAGTTTGTGGCTGAATGAAGCACTCTGCTCCTGCCAATCCTTCCTCTTATTGCAGGAAATAGCTCTGGAAACATCTGCTGATGCATTCCCCACTCTGCCTGCCCCTTACATAGCTCCTTAGGGAACAGTTTTAGAAACTTAAGGAGACTGTGTGTGCACCAGAAAAAATCACAGGGAAAAAAGCCTCAAAGATCTTTTAAATGCTCAAACTGATAAAGACATATTCTATCTATAAACATTAGAACAATTCAGGAACTTGCCTGCACGCTAAGAAGCTCAGCTTACAATTTACACTCAAAAACAATCATGATTATGCATTCTTATTTCACTGATCCTCATTACTGCCCTCTGCTTCTCTGCTGTTCCAAAATGCTGGTGACCAGGCTGATGTTCTTCAGAAGTCTTCCTGTCTGCCTCAATTACATACTGATGAAACTATAAAAAGGGGTGGGAGAATGGGGAATGCATCAGCTGATGTTTTCTCATTGTTTCTGAGTAATTGCCTTTAGGGCAGGGAAGAGGAAACTGAAAAGTGAAACTGATTTAGAATCCTCAGGAGGAGAAAAATGAAACCTAACAGCTTGACAACTGCAGTGGCTTAGCCAGAGTACATTGTTTAAAACCATGACTAAAATTTGTTTGAGAAAATGTGGAAGCATTCCTAATGTAAACCAAAAAAATTAAATTCTAAGGCCACCCTCACCAACCATGTGAATTGACCCCTGCTTTTGGCCAAGAAGATTCCAAAGTTAACCTGAAAACTGATAGGAAGGGGATGCTGGATATGCCTCATTACACCCTCTTTCCTTTTGAAATTACTGATAGAGCACCCTCTTTTTTTTTTTTTTTTTTTTTGAGACAGAGTCTTACTCTGTCATCCAGGCTGGAGTGCAGTGGTGTGATCTTGGCTCACTGCAACCTCTGCCTTCTGGATGCAAATGGTTCTCTTGCCTCAGCCTCTTGAGTAGCTGGGATTACAGGTACACAGCACCATGCCTGGCTGTTTTTGTATTTTTGGTAGAGATGAGGTATCGCCATGTTGGTCAGGCTGGTCTTGAACTCCTGACCTCAGGTGATCCACCCACCTCGGCCTCCCAAAGTGCTAGGATTACAGGTGTGAGCCACCTTGCCCAGCCAGAACACACTCTTTAAGTGTGATAAGAAACATTTACAAACTTCAGAGAAACATTTCTCTGAAGCCTGCTACCTGGAGTCTTCATCTGCATA